GCTGTTAGGGGTTGAGATTTCTACGAAACTAAACTTTACCTTTCATCGAGTCTAAGGTCAAAGTAACTCCAAGGAAGTTAGGTTAGCCGTTTACTCTATATAAACCGCAAATTCGGTCGTACATTGAATATTGCTGTCATATATGGACTGGTGCTGCAAAGTGCCACCTAGTAGCTTTCGACTCAATGGAAAGATGTGCTCAGAGGCTTATCATTGAACTAATTCTGGTTAAAACCAACTCACCAGTCGAACACATTCGCAAAGCTGCCTGTATTTCGGTTTTCTATAGGCAACAGAATTCTTCCCTCCCCCTTTCACCATCAGACAAGCAAACGTTTGGCCAGTCTCCACCCTAAGAGGTATAAGTAAGTTGACAACGAAGGTTGTCGACTTACTTATACCTCTTAGGACTTACACATTCAACCAAACGGTTTGCTTCATCATTCCACATGCATACAGTAAAGGAATGGAAGAAGTTGCCTGTATTTTGCTTTCCATTTAAAGTGGGTGTCTTCGAGGCAATAGTGAATAGGCTTTTGTTAGGCTAAGGCAGTGCACAACTAAAAATAAATTATTTATGTGCATAAACTTACCTGTCTCAGCTTAGCCATGGCATCAGGAGCTATAAAATCAGCTTGTGCAGCATGTGTCAGAAAACAGAGTGTCTGATGACCACTCTGCCCTAACTCTTCTTCGGCAGGTATAACAACTTTCATAGCTTCTACCTCCTAAAAAAAGGAAAATTCTTAAATCTCCTCAATAAATATTTTCCATTAACTTTATATCTTTTATATGTAATATCACAGTTGTGCAACAGTTGGGAAACGAATGTACTTGTGCAGCAAATGCTGGGGTTTTGCGGGGCAGGGGGCGGCGCGACCTTGTGCCAGCGCACTCCTCTAAGTCTGCTGTACAATACATGATGTTGACGCGAGCATGCTTTATAGTATATATTCATCTAATCTTAAGTAGCATATTCGAAAAATAGTGCCGTGGTACCTCTGATGAAACTGGGTTCGATCCCCGCCGGCACCAAACTTGTGTAGCACCAAACTTCTTAACTAAAATTTTAAGTGCTGATTTACCACATGCTCGGCGGTGAAGAAAAACATCGTAAGAAAATCGGCATATCTGAGAAATAAGAAAAAAAAAGTATTTCGAAGACATATGAAGTTCGTGGACACTCATTTGGACAGCGCGGAGGACACTTCCTTGTCCTAAAAACCCTCTCAGAAATGAGGAGAGGCCTGTGCCCAGCAGAGGGACGTATATGTGCTGTAACTTTGAAAAATATAATATCTATAATGGTGAATTACTGTTGTTGAGTTATTAATGAGTTTCTAAGTAAAGTTGAACTCAAATGATGGTCATGCTTACGTCTCCATGATATTTTTATTAAATTGAACAATCGAAAACTGAAAATATCTACCTGCTGAGTCCCGAAAATATTTAGCAGTGCAACTCAATGTATTTTTATTTTTATATATTGTTACTACAAGAAAAAATATTTTGTAATATAGTATATTATATATATTACAAATTATTTTATTCAATAAATGTTTTAACTCATAAGTATGTGCATAATGTTAATAAATCAGAATGAGTATCATAATATCCAAAATTATTTTATTGCCAATTTCATGACAACCCCTATTCGTCCATCGTTGCAAATTGTAAAACCTTATGCGGGCGGCGGCATTTGTGCATAAGTGTCCAGACATTTTAAGTATCTGATGGCTTGTTCATTAGACATTTTATTAAATACTTTCAATAAATGGCAGTTTTTCAACCACAGACCATAACATATACACACACTGACTACAGACCATAGCATGGATTATAACATAAGCAAAGCATTCAGCATAAAACTTGTTCACCACCCGCATGCACTCTGACCGAGTGGCTACCTTTAAATAGAGGTTTTTTAATGCCTTTAGTGAGACCATCTGTTCAAGAATAGTGAGACACCTAGAAACTATTAACGCATGATTCAAAAGTGCAAACGATTTTTTATCTTTCTCAGATATTCAATTATTCGAAATTTCATTATTCGAATTTGTGACAGATCAATTAAAAATTTTCTATTGGTTTTCTGTTTCAAACACAATTTTTTTAATATTCGCCTGATACTTGCTGCAGATCCTTGGGAATGTAGGTCATCCTGTAACTTCCTTCATGACTTGCCTAGTGATGTGGAAATTGTGGATGATTCTTTTGTAACACCCTTGTCAAAGCAGTCAATGTCTGTTATTGGTTTTTGTTGATTCTTTTTTTTACTGGGAGTTCGGAAGACAGTAAGAAATTCCGATTTTTGGAATGTTTTATAACTCTTCTCACTGTAGGAATCGGAACATTTTATTGAGCTGTTATTGTATAGTTGTTATAAATTATCAACTGCATTATTATCAGCCTCCCTCTTCATAAAACAACATATGTCATAAGTCATTTTCCGCACTTTTCTATGTAAAACCATTTCGTAATCAAAAACTTTTGTGCACTATGATATTTTGAGAACAAACATATAAAATGTGTAATGTGGACACAGCATGGAAAGCACAGGTTGACTGACGAATATCCTAGTGTGGAGGTAAAGTTTTATAAAAAAGAAAGAATAAAGCACCGGTAAGCATAAAGCACCAAATAGACTGATAAATTGCCTAATGCCTACATGACACGACCTATATTTTATAGAAAGAATACCATACCAATGGCAAAAGCTCTTACCAAATTATTTATTGTGATATAATATACTTAAATAAGATTAAATAAGTGTGTCATAACTTACGTTGGTAAAATCAACAAGTTGTGATACGTAAACTCCATCCAAACGTAAAAAATCTAAAATAACAGTGTCTTCTGACACATTCGCTGTTATGTTTTCCTGCATAACATCGCCACCCTACAATAACGCTTAGGATAAATTTTAATTTAAAACGAAAATGGAATAGATAATAAAGATACAAATAAAAATACCTGGTTTTTAACATTAATTACTAATTGTAGATTGATTGGTTTAATGATTGCGTAAAAGACAATAATATTTACGTATTTTTGCATTTTCTCTTAAATAAAAAATACTATAAGTAAGTACTTAAGTATTGTATAAATTATTTTATTTAAATAATCATTTCAGTCCGATTGGAAAGTAATCACGAAAATAGAACCGAAAGCTGAAAGCTGAAACAATTAATGAAAACATAAACATTAATAACCACTCGTGATCCGTCAGTCTATGGCATAGATAAATAAATATGTAGCAAGCTAGTCTATGGACCTATTAGTACGTAGTAGGTAGTACTATTACATAGATTACTGACTATGTACTAGAGATACTATTATTTAATCTGTGCTATTAGTCAGACCTATGGTGAAGCCAAAGAGTATAGTAGGTTTGGCCAAAGACAATTTTTTTAAATGAAGGTAAATAGAACTTAGAGTCTATCCAAAAATAAAAATTATAAATATATATAATTATTTTCGCTTACATTTCTACATTTCAGTAGGGCATGAAAAAATGTTTTTGCATCGTCGGTCATCACCGGTTTTAACCATTTAAATTAGTCTTCCCATTCCTTTCTGAATTTTTGACTGCAGGTTTTTTTATTCAGCAGTATATTCATTTTATAATCTTGATTAATAATAAATTTAATTAAATAACAAACAATCACTTTTAAATGGAAACAAATAAAATTAGATACACGGGAGATTTAAAAAAACACTAGACGTACTTACGTAAGTATTGCGCGCAACAAGACTAAAGTGACAAGAATAAATATTATGAATATAACTATCGAGGAAGTCCCGATAGTTACATATACCTATGATATGAAGATCGCTGACTACTACACCTAGAACAGTTGCTATGTAAACCAACAGGAATGCAGGCGCAGCAATTCAAGCCACGTGCCGGATGTATAAAATATCACGTACTCACTTACACAAGGCTCATTCTGTTAGATTAATTAGCTATAGTAACATAATTTGTAATTTTATTTTAAATATATTTTATAAGTAAATTTGGTTTTTTTTTTCGAACCTCCGGCCGCAGCTAACGTAATTGGCGCAGTCGGTAGGATACTCAGGGGTAGTTTTGCGATAGTTAGGGAATATCTTTTCATAACCGTGAAGCACCCCGGCGGCTATCAAGTCCCTTCGAAGAGTATCCGGATCTACGGACCAGCTGCAGACCAGGAGGAGAATCCAGCCTTCGATTCATCGAGAGAAACCAGATGAAATCCACGTGAGTACCTTGAATTGATCTCGTGTTGCTCTCCCTTATCCCTAAGTTATAAATCTTTCCCTTCAAGATTTATCATCCTAGAGTAACTCGTTCTCGGGAGCCTGAATCCCGACAGGCTCGCCGTCATGTATTAGATAATAATAGGCAAACCAATTTAGATTTAGAATTAGAATTAAATAATACTTATTTAACAGAGATGGCCCACGACCCGGACACAATTTTTAAGGCTTTACGCCTCGTCCCGGAGTTTGATGGGAACCCTAACGTTTTAACTAGATTTATAAAAATATGTGACACACTAGCCTCGCAGTACCTAAGCAATGCGCCCGATAGTGAATTTTCTAATTTATGTCTTTTGAACGGTATTCTTAACAAAATAACAGGAACCGCTGCCTGCACTATAAACTCTAATGGCATTCCTGAAAATTGGTTAGGTATTAGGACAGCATTAATAAATAATTTTTCCGACCAGCGGGACGAAACGGCTTTATATAATGACCTCTCCTTAGCTTCGCAAGGCAATAGAACTCCACAGGAATTTTACGACCATTGCCAAATTTTGTTTAGCACGATAATGACTTACGTGTCCTTACATGAGACCATACCGACCACCATCAATGCCAAACGGGACCTTTATAGGAAAGTCGCTATGCAAGCATATGTCGGCGGCTTAAAGAAACCTTTAGGATCTCGTATACGTTGCATGCGACCGTCGACAATAGAGAAAGCATTAGAATATGTACAGGAGGAATTAAACATTATGTATCTCCAACAGCGCAATGACTCCATAAAAAGTCAACATTCTCCCAAGTTCATTCCACCATCCACACCACCTTCCATTCCTCAACATCAACCTTTCCAAACTCCAGTACCTAATTGGCCAGCTCCTGTTGGGCAAAGACCTTACAGACCCCCACCTCAGCCGTTCAAGTTTCCTCAACCCGTACCACACCAACAGCGCATGCCAACTAATACCCAGCGCATGTTCGGTGCACCCCCTCCTAACTACAACCAGCGTAGTAACGTGTTCCGATTACCACCCCGAAATAACCCTCAACAACCTCAGCCCATGAGTGGAGTCCAGCGTTTTATTCCCAAGGCTTTACCACACACAAAAATGTTGACAGGACATGACTGGAATAAATTTGGCAATCCGCCACCAACAAATTATTTTAAATCCCGCGAAATGAATACAAACGAATGCGCTGCGTATAACGATTCATATTACGAGTATAACCCTGAATACGAGTACGCATACTACACCGACTATACCGACTTTAACAATGCTTATGCCCCGGATTTCGCTTCTGACTTTTCTTATTATGACCAGACTGACGAAAACCAAGATAATAATTATTATATTCAAAATCAATCACAAGTAGAATCTAAGCACTCCGATCAGGATTTTCAGGACGATTCGACTATAAAAAAACCAAAATAGAATCAAATCTTCAGACTCAAAGACAATTACCATATATATAGATAGCAAACCCCCCCATTAAAATTTTTGATAGATACTGGCGCGAATCAATCTTTTATTAGCCCTGAAGCTGTAGAAAAATTTTTCAGCGATTTCCCACTTAATTTTGACCCGTTCGAAGTAACAAACATACACGCGACAAGTCGTAATAATTATTCTATAACGTTACCTTGTTTTTCTGAATTTAATGATTCCGATAAAGTGAAATTCTTTGTATATCGCTTTCATGACTATTTTGACGGCCTTATAGGTTTGGATTTATTAAGTAAATGGGAGGCCCGTATAGATTTAAAAGAGGGACAATTAGTAACGCATTCAGCATGTAATCCTATAAAATTATATAACTCGCGTAATGTTAATTTATACGAAGATATAATACTTGCCAGCTCTTCGAAAATTATTAGAGTTCCATTGGATACAAGGGATGGCGAAGCCTATATTACGGAACAGGTTCTATGTAATTGTATTATTCACGAATGTGTTACCACTGTCGTCAATAATCGCGGTTATATTGAGGTAGAGAACCCAACGCCAAACGATATAATACTTTCACTCGACCGACCAGCCCACGCGGAATTATTTAATATTGAGTGCACGCGTACCGAACAATTATCAGCACGCGCAAATGACGTAGTTTCGCGATTACGTACAGACCACCTAAACGAGGAGGAAAAGGCTAATTTAATAGCACTTTGCTCGCGTTACTCGGACGTTTTTTACATAGAAGGTGAAAGCCTCACTTTCGCAAATAGAATAAAACATCGGATTCGAACCACGGACGAAGTACCAATACACACTAAAAGCTATCGTTATCCATTCATACATAGACAAGAAGTTAAGGACCAAATAAGCAAAATGTTAGATCAGGGTATTATAAGACCTTCCGAATCTGTATGGAGCTCACCCATCTGGGTTGTGCCAAAGAAAGTAGATGCTTCTGGCAAACAGAAGTGGCGTCTCGTAGTTGACTTTCGCAAATTAAACGAAAAGACACTTGACGATAAATACCCTATCCCGAACATTAGTGATGTTCTTGACAAATTAGGGAAGTGCCAATATTTTACCACCTTGGACTTAGCAAGCGGATTTTATCAGGTAGAAATGGACCCTCAGGACACAGCGAAAACCGCTTTTAATGTAGAGTATGGCCATTTCGAATTCCTTCGCATGCCAATGGGCCTGAAGAACAGTCCATCTACGTTCCAAAGAGTTATGGACAACGTCTTAAGGGGGCTACAGAATCATATATGCCTTGTATACCTAGATGACATAATTGTGTTCAGCACTTCACTCCAAGAACACATAGTTAACCTAGAGAAAGTATTTAGTAGACTTCGTGAGTCCAACTTTAAAATTCAAATGGACAAATCGGAGTTTCTCAAACATGAAACGACTTATCTCGGTCATATTATTACTAGGGATGGTATTAAACCAAACCCCGATAAAATTTCGGCTGTACAAAAATACCCTATTCCAAAGAATCCAAAAGAAATTAAGCAATTCTTAGGCCTTCTCGGTTATTACAGAAAGTTCATTCCGGATTTCGCCCGTATTACTAAACCATTAACTCAGTGTCTTAAGAAAGGCAAAAAAGGTAACAATAGACAATAATTACGTTAACGTTTCGAAAAATGTAAGTCTCTTTTGACAAACGATCCCATCTTGCAATATCCAGACTTTACTAAAGAGTTTAACCTAACGACAAATGCTTCTAACTTTGCCATTGGTGCCGTACTGTCACAAGGTCCAATAGGATCCGACAAACCAGTCTGCTACGCTTCTCGTACGTTAAACGAAAGTGAAGTTAATTACAGTACAATCGAAAAAGAACTTCTCGCCATAGTCTGGGCTACGAAATACTTTAGACCATATTTGTTTGGTAATTTAAAATTTTGACAGACCACAAACCATTGCAGTGGATGATGAATTTGAAAGAACCAAATTCTCGTCTCACAAGTGGTTTGCCATATGGCGAGAAGTTCTTTGAGACTCAGTGAGTATGAATTTACAGTAATTTATAAGAAAGGCAAAATTAACACCAATGCCGATGCTCTCTCACGTATAGAGATTCACAATGAAGACATAAGGATGTTAATGAACGAAATTGACGAACTAAACTCGTTAATAGGCAACCCAAGCGAAGGTATGGCGAACTCTTCGACTGAGACCGTACACACCAGTAACGAACACCCTATACTTGAAATTCCTATAACTGACGAACCACTCAATAAGTTTAATAGACAGATTCACTTGACTGTTAGCGACGTTAAACGAAAAACCATTGTGACTAAACCCTTCGATACCCATACACGTGTTAGCATTCAACTATCGGAAAATAGTCTCGAAGAAGACGTCATAAACGCTGTAAAAGAGTATGTCAATCCGAAAATCAAAACTACTCTCTTAATAAACCCACCTTTAGCATTATATAAAGTAATACCAATCTTACAGGATAAATTTAAAAGCTCTTAACTTAACCTTGTTTTAACCAAATTCGAGTTAGAGAATGTTAAGGAATATTTGCGACAACAAGAAATTATTCGTCACTATCACGACGGTAAAACCAACCACCGTGGTATTAATGAGTGTTATCTAGCATTATCTCGCAAATACTATTGGCCAAAATTGAAAGACCATATTACAAAATTTATTAACGAATGTACCATCTGCGGACAGGCCAAATATGATAGAAACCCAGTAAGACCGCAATTTAATGTAGTAACACCTGCAACCAAACCCTTTGAGATAATTCACATGGACCTCTTTACCGTTCAAAGTGAAAAATATGTAACTTTTATAGACGTTTTTACAAAATACGGACAAGCTTACCATTTACGCGACGGAACCGCTATTAGTATATTACAGGCCCTTCTACAATATTGTACCCATCACGGTGTTCCCTTAATAATAATCACTGACAACGGAACAGAGTTCACTAATCAATTATTCTTAGAATTTACTAGATTCCATAAGATAAATCACCATCGTATTTTAGCCCATTCTCCTAACGATAACGGTAATATTGAAAGGTTCCATTCGACCCTTTTGGAACATATTAGAATTTTAAAATTACAACATAAGGACGAACCGGTCATCAATCTCATGCCTTACGCAATAATAGCCTACAATAGCTCAATACACAGTTTTACTAGATGTCGACCATTTGACTTATTAACGGGACACTTTGACCATAGAGACTGTCTTGACATCGACATAACCCAGAAACTACTACAGCAGTATGTACAGACGCATAGGGATCAAATGAAAAAAGTGTACGAAATTATTAATAGCACGCCACTAGCCAATCGCACAGCCATTATAGAGAGTAGGAATAAGGACCGCGAACCGGAAATAGAATACGCGCCGCAGCAGCAAGTTTTTATTAAAAATCCATCTGTCCACTGTATTAGCCGATTTACCCATTCATATTTATACATCTAAAAAACGTGGTCCAGTAGCAAAATCACGGCTCAAGCGTGTTCCTAAAACAGTTAAATTGTTGCAGGATACTGCTAATAATGCTCCTTCAAAGGACCCAGACGACAGAGATAAAACTTGAAAGTCTATCCGACGGACCAGGACTACTACCGTATAAACTAGAACCCACGAAATTGACTACTCATTATCATACATTTTTACAGTACGTACGACTTGATGACATTGAAGATAATATCCACTCCCTACAGAATCAACTACTCACTTTCCAAAACCAACTGACTAACGATACTTATTTACTGTACGAAATCCAAATAGATTATCTGTCTAACAAACTTGGCAAGGTGTTAAGTCATCTCAGAACCCTAGAGCCCAATAGAGCTAAAAGAGGTCTTATAGATAGTCTTGGTTCAGTCATAAAGAGCATAACTGGTAACTTAGATTACACAGACGCGTTAAGATATAACGAGGCAATTAAAACCTTTAAGGATAATCAACTGAGCGTTGCATCCGAATTCGATCAACATCTCAGCTTAAGTAAAGAATGGATGTCTAAGCATAGTAATGCAATTATTGAGATAGCGGAAAATCAAAGGAAAATTAATGAGACTTTGATAATTATATTAAATAGTAATGCATATAGGCAAACTAGTTTAATTAAATACGCTAAATTCGCGCAATTGTTAGAAATAATTAGTGATAATGTAGAGGACTTAATGCTAGAATTAATTAGAATAGAAAACACTTTAGCTTTTATTCGTGCATCTAGCACGCACCATTCTATGATAGATATAGATGTATTACGTTCCATGTTAAGTAAGCTTAGAAATATTTACAGCTCAGATCAGATATTAAATTTAGAACTCAGAGACTATTATGACGTAATAAAACCCGGCTCATATTACACGGAGAAACAAATTGTGTTCATCTTTAAATTTCCTATAACTTCTAGAGATAATTTTGATTTATATAGATTATCCATTGTCCCAAATAAAAATTCACAGGCCCTTATCCCAACCTATCCCTTC